TTTATTAAATCAATTTACTAGCTACTTAATTGTTAGGCTAATGAGCTCAAACCCAATTAAAAAATCACTCACAAGCACACAAAACCCAAGCAGTGCTACAAAAAAAAAAAAAAAAAATCACATACACACATACATACGCGCTAGATGCTGTAGTACAACGTACGTGAGACACAATTACCTTTCTATCCTCTCTAGTAAGGATAGAGCAATCTCCAGGAGTATAATCCCAAATCTTTTTTGGAGGCTGATGGAAAGCAGAGGAAGGAAATGAGGAAATGAAGATAAGGAAAGACATCACAGAGAATATGGAAACCGGATTAGAACAGAGGGGGAATACAATAGGGGATTTGCATCCACACTGAAAAGAAATTAAAAAAAAAAAAAAAACACAACAGAGAAAGAGAGATAGAAAGAGGGATAAATCCGCTATAGCACAAATATCAAGAGACCATGGGAGGCAAAAGGGAGCATACATGCAGTCTGGGAGGGGCTGTTTTCAGTAGTGTTTGAGGAAATTTTTTATTTTTGCAAGGTGCTCTAAGGGATTTTGGACTCTCTAGAGGGAGCCCACAGCTGGTGGTTAAAGCATTCTTAACACAAAACCAAAACAAAATGGGGAAAAAAACCACACAGTCATAAAAAGCATTTGTTTTGCTCATTCTTCTTTTCAAAAGGAAAGGGTAAAACAAGGGCCTTCGATAAAGAACAGGGAGAATCTTTCCCACCCCCGCCAGCCTATGGATACATACCATGTGAACAAATGGCTGAATTTCCAGTGGTGGCATTGTGGGGCAATGAGAATGCAGAGTTGTTATTTTTTATTTCACTGGTTTGGGGGTTTGTTTGTGGGGGGTTTTGGTGGAGAAAGTGGGACACATGGAGGTTTGGGAACTAGTTATTTAAAATTTATCCTATTGGTGAAGGCGCCGATTTCAAAATAGGATTTTCCTGTTTGGATGCACAAGTAAATATCAGGGAGGATTATTCAAAGTGAAAGACCTTTGCCCTGACACTCCTATCCAAATAATACCATGCCAATATCCTCATTTCACCAGATATGCACCTCTCACTGACATGCTTAAAGAGACTTTGTTCTTACTTTGTGAAATCAGAATACATTTGCTCTGTTTCCAAACAAAAATAACCTCTGTTGGTTGGCAAGCTTAGCATCATCCTACATGCCCACACTGACTTCTGTGACTAGATCGTCTCTGACAGGGAATCTCCCAGTGTCAGTCTATCAAAGGTGAGACTGAGCTACAGCACTTGGGTCTTGGTCCAAATTCCTTCAGGTTTCTAGACTGCCTGGACCTGTAGTTTGAATCCAGCCCACTTCTACATTTGGACAGCCACTGCGTGGATTGCAAACACTGTAAACACCTATTTCTTATCCATCAGATCAGCAGCTGCAGGTAGGTAGATGGGGCTGCAAAGAGTTAGGTTTGAGATTCGGAGGGACAAACTGGAGGGAAGGAGGTGAGAAGGCAGGACATGCACCCCTTTTTCCAGCCCCCCTGCTTCTCTGTTTATAGCAAAGAGCTTGCTTAGTGCTGTCTCAGGAAGGGCTGGGACAAAGTGCCCATGTGTGTGATCCCGCAATCACAATGGAAGACAACTGAGCTCTAGACTGCCTGAATGTCAAGTTTTGTTGATGGGCTCCAAGGAAGGAACGTGTGGGGATTCAGTCTCAGCAGCACACTGAAAAAGCATCCGTGCTGCAGAGACTGATCTACCTGTCTGCAGGGCACGCGCCTGTCCACGGAGCTGCCTAGAAATGCACCTGGGATGCTGGTCCAGCAAAGTGTTGCTTCAGCTGCCCTAGGAAGTGCATGTGCTTTCCTCAATGGGGAAAGCCCCGTCCTGGTCATTCTGATGTGTATAGAGAGCAACACCCACAGGCTCACAAGAATCCTGTGCTCCCTTTTACCAAGGATTTTCCTGCCCACATCATATAGCTGCAAATAAAGTCATAAAGCCAGGGGAAATCATCCTGTAGAGCTACACTTTATCTCCAGCATTGGAAAAAAAAGCTGGGACAAACAGAGAATCTTTGAAAATCCCAGGCGCTGGTAAATGTCAGTTAAAACGCTCTGATTAGGCATGGGGCTTAGCCACTAGCTGGTCACAAAAATCTGGTCCTCTTGTGACCTGAGTAAGCAAAGCTACATAAAGCATGCTCTTTTGGCTCTGGTGACGAAGCTCAGAGGGAGCTTTGCTGAATTTCTGTCAGGTTTCAGAGCAGGTAGCTATAAAAGTCTGAGATGACATCCTCAATCCAAGTGCCTGATGTAACGGCAAAGCACTATGTACATAGTACCCCGTTCACGGGTTGGCATAGTTGATCAGGGAGCATAGTTCTGTGGCTTTTGAGCTAGAGCACGTTGACATGGGATATCATTTCAAGGCAAGCTGTAAGAAAGCAGCCCTTAACAACAGTGCCCCGAGCAAGGTGGGGAACTTGTCACCAGAACAGACGCTCTGCTGAACGAGAGATGGATTGCTGGTGCAGCCTGAGATGCCCTCTTCTGAAGCAAGGCCAAGGCTGCATGACTAAAAGCACAAACACACACTTCTAAGGAACAGCTATACCCTGACTTCTAGAAAGGCCTGAGGGCATAAATGTTCTCCTTTCTCTGACACATTTTCCATTAACTTACACTAACTTGAAGGATCATAGAGATGACAAACCTTCATTCATTGCAAGAACATATGGCTATTAATTACACGGCAGCAAGAGAAGCAGGTTTCTTCTCACTTTGTGGAAATCTTAAACCATGACAACTTGTGAGGGGTTAAATCCTTAGACTGACATCACTTGAGAGCCTCAGTGAGGTGACTTCTACTGCCTAAAAGTTATGGGGTCTCATCTCAAACACTGTTGAAGGTCCTTCTTTAGCTTACGATGGAAGGTCCATAGCTATAAAACATAGTTTTCTATGACAGAACAGACTACCCAGCCACTGTACATGTCTGTTTTTCAGCAAGAATTACATTATTTTTATGATGAGATCAGACTGGGCACCCAACCTCAGGCAGTTACATTCTATGCAGAAGAATTTTGTCACTTCTGTGAAAACAGAGGACAGAGACTAGATTTAAAGAAAACCTGCCCTCTGGTGTCCATGTGCAATGGCCTTTTAAACCAGCATTGAACCTTAAATGTATTTTGGGTTTTTTGTACATGCAGGGAAATCTCAGCAGCACTCAAAAATGGTGTGCACGGGCATTTGGCAATTGACCTCAAGGAGAAAGGAGAAACAACCACTATACTTGAATAGATGTGAGAGGCTGACAGTGACCCTCTGGTGCAGTAAGAGTAGCTTATTAAACAGTATTTAATAATGAAGTTAATAGTGTTTAATCAGTAAGAACCAGGCCATAAAATGCTTTAAAGTCACATTTTTTCCAGTAGCCATGACCACTGATGTGTTCCCTCCATCAAAATGTCCTTTGTCCTATTGAATAATTAAGCTTTGCTTCATCTTCTTCCAGAGTGGGAAATCAAGGCTTTTTTTTTTTTTTTCTCCCCACACATAGCAACACGGCTCCATTTGAAAAGAAAGCACACTGTTCTCAGACTCCTTTGGTTTCAGGGAATGGCAAGGGCTATTCAACACAGACTGATGCACCCCATTTAGGCAACGGGCAGCTCCACGCATAAGGAACTGAGCAGGAAACAGGGTCATGATCTGTTTGTGGGTAGCTGGAAATTACTGACCCACAGTTTACAAGCCAAGGCCAGGAATAAATGAGTGATTCTCCTTGACTTAAAGCTACCTGTCAGCCATCCTAGATCTTGTTAGGCAGAGGGAGAATAACGGCTTTGAATAAGGACTTTCAATAATGAGAACAGGGCATTACTTCTAACATTAACAACAAAAATGGAGTTTGAACTATGGTGTGTGAAAAAATATTGCCTTGTTGATACATATGGCCGGAAGGTGGGGAATGTGTGTAAATGGCTTCAAAATACTTAAAGTGGTCACAGAACAGCTGCTTTACATCAGTACCGGGATGATGTTATGAACAATCACATTTTTAAATGAGTAAGGCAGCTGTTCCAGGTTTAGGGCCTAGCAAAGAGATGTGACAATCATTTAAAAAAAAAAAAAAAAGAAAAAAAGAAAAAAAAAAGCAGGTT